CTCGCGCTCTCACGGCGGCGGGAAGCGCGTGCCACGCGCCCGAGCGGCCGCAGTGCGGCAGCGCGCATGCGCAGAACCGGAGACAGCCTCACCTCACAGTAAAGAGCGCGTTATGGAGTCAGCCCCGAGGTAATGTTTGCTGTTTCACAGCACTTCTTCGGGTCTTTCCTCTGCTGATGCCATTCGAATAATTAAAACATGTCGTCTCTTGCCTTCCCTGACAGACTTCTTCTCTTAGAGTGGCAGGAGCTTCCCATTCTAACGGCAGCAGACAGACAGACAGACACCTGAGCCCAGCCGGCGCTTCAGGATCCACAGGGACCCTTCAGTCACCACGAGAAGCCCACAACTCTGCTGATACTCCTTCCATCAACAAAACTGAGTGTTCCACAAGAAAAGGGGTCGTCGGTAGAAAAACTAAAATACAGTCTCATGGTAAGCTTTCTTCCTATGTTTTCTTGAATAGGTATCTAGGAAAGTTACAGCACACAAATCTCTCTGCTTCTGGAAACTTCTGATCTGCTTATCACAGAAGTTTGCCCCGATGCAGAAAGGGAACCTATTCCAGGCAAGACTGTCATGGAATAAGATCCCAATATGACACACACAGTCTGTCATTTCTCAGGGAGAAAATAAAACATGTTTGCTTGAACAGGAGGTAGCAAATCTAGTAGTTAGAAAAGTTACCAGCTGCTTTAAAAACACTTACTTTGCACCCAGATGTAGTTTACCACATAAATTAAAAGGGACAACAAAGCAAAAAGAGAAAAAAAAAAACCATCAACCTAATATACTCCAGGGCAAAGGGCTACATCATCCTTACCCTCAAATACCTGACTGAAACTGTTTATTTTAACATCCAGAGGAGCAAGGAATGGTGAGAAAAACACTGGGAAAAGGGATTGAAACTAGTTAGTGCTGTGTGTTTGTAGCCGTTTTACCTGTGTTATTTATTAGTGGGATGTAGTTCTGTATGCAGCATTGATTTCCTCTCTTTTTCCTGCAGTAAATGGATGGGGACTAATAATGATTCTTTGATTAGACGGTGAAGGTTTCTATTACGCTAGCAATAATTTATTGTATCTACGTGTGTTTCCTTTTTGTCAACAAGACTTGGGGCATAACAATGCAATCTGGAGACTCGGCACTAGAGTTAAACTGAATCAAACATTCTGCTTCAGATTTTTACCTCATTCCTTGCACACAGCAGGGCCAGCACACAAGAACATTCAGGAAACTAAGCCTTCCCCCTTGTCTAAATTACCCAATCACTTTTCCAGTACTGGAGTATGGACTACTGGACTGAGTCAAAACACAGCTTTTACTCCATTCATGATACCTTGAGCTCTAATCAACATGAAGAAGCTGGTTGTAAAAAACTTGATATATTCCAGGAGTATATTATCTCTGTCTCTGTACGTGGGTTTGAGGGTATTTTTCTGTCAGTTTTTTTGTTTGTTGGTTTTGTTTCTCGTGAAGTACTTTTTGTCTTAAGAAATTTTAATTATGTAACAAAATTGCTGCATCTTTGAAAATAGATTTCTCACCCTTAAGATTTTTTCCTCTAAGGCGTATATTACTGGTAATATCAGCCTAAAAATATACAAGAAAGTTTTTGAGTGAACTTCTTTGCCCTAATTATTTGAAATGGTTAAATCCCATGCCAGCAACCTTCAATACACATTTGGCAGTATGCCTATACTCTATTACTGGCAATTAAAAATATCATTGTGAGCAGAACTTCTCCCCGATGTTGCTGCCATATAGAATTAGATAGGAGATTTTTCAGAAGCCAAGCAAAAATATTTGTTTGGTCTATGAAAATTGAGGGGAGCAAATCAAAGAGCAGCAATTCACCACTGTGAATTGGCAAATGCTATCTGAGACTTTAAATATCACTTTGTTATCTTCCATCTCTAGAAGCACATGGAAGCTGACTATTAATGTGTGTAACAAATTGAGTATATAACATAAGGCATGGCTTATTACATTTATACTATTACTACAAAGGGACCTGAGTAAGTCCTGCCTTAAATTCCCCTGTTAACAGAGAGCCACAGTGTACCTCTTCCCCTACTGATCCCACTCAATGGAACAGTAGTGAAAATCAGGAAGATCACAAGACAGAACTGAGTGCTTGCCTAGTAATTACATCTCCTGGGACTCCTTTATGTTTTACCTTAGGAAACTACAGGCCATCACCACCCCTTTTATTTGCCTTTTACTTTTTGAGCAAACATTTCTGCCTGCCAATTTGCGAGCATAGTGATTCCCATAGTTACAGTTTTCTGTAAATGTAATGGCTGAAAATCAATAGTCACTATAATTCTTTTGAAGTTCATTATAAATTTCAATGCAACCAGAACTTGTTAAGATCCCCTGGCTGCAATGACTCAACCACATGAATAAATCTACACAAATGAATAACTATTTTGGGGTCAATGCAATTTTTCACCAGTGTGAGGGAAGTTTCAAATACCTTTTTATAAACCAAAGATTAGGAACGAGGCAAAATTCCTCCTGAGAGAATTAACACTTGTGTATATTCACTGCTGTAGTTTTGCTCTGACCCATTTTCTGGGAACAAATGTTTAGTCTTTCATAAATTTCTGTAATACCCCCTATCTGACTGCATGCTTCAGAATGCCTCCTATCCAGCACTGCTTTATCCAAAACTCTAACACTCTTAACAGTCAAGCAGTATCTTTCCAGCTGCACTAAGGAGACTCAGTTATCCCATTACACCAAAGAAATAGCAAGCACCTGTTTTACCTGAAAACATTAAACTAAATGAAGTTGTTTTCCTTATCTCTAAATCTTTGTTTCCAAACACAAGCCACAGGGAATCCACTGCCCTGCTCACCACCAGCACAGGGGAAAGGTAGCACACCAAGTTCTGCAGCACAAATCCCAAGGGTTCTCTAAGCTCATGCTGTTCTTAGATCTTTGGGGAGATCTTAGTATCTCCCCAAAACACAGGATCTCTCAGGAAGGCAAGCACCCAGCTGTAGGAGACGCTTTCTGGGGACGGTCAGAGACACGGCAAAGACCTCTATAATCGAGTTAAGTGTTAGACGCTTTCTGGGGACGGTCAGAGACACGGCAAAGACCTCTATAATCGAGTTAAGTGTTAGAAGTTTATTTCAGGGCGTGGGGTAGAGAGAGAGAGAGCGAGAGAGAGAGAGCAAGAGAGAGCGAGAGAGAGAGAGAGAGAGAGAGAGGGCAAGAGAGCAGGCAAGAGAGAGAGAGAAAAAGAGAGAGAGAAAAAGAGGGCAAGAGCAAGAGAGACGAAAAAAAAAAGAGCAAGCAAGAGAGCGAGAGAGGGCAAGAGAGCAAAAAAAGAGACTGAGCTCTTCTATACCACTACTTATATAACCTATACCTTTGAATATTCTATTCCTTAACTAACCAATCTTTCTAAGTATACTAATATAGTAACATTTGTGTACAACCTATAGAAATCACTATTTTTGCATATTTTTAGTTATCTCAGGGTCCTTCAGACCTTTCCTTATAAGGCTGGGATGAGGGGTCTCAGCTTGGTTTTATTGCAGGAAAGAATGTGTTCTGGCATACCAGCCCGGTTGGTTTCTTTGAATTATTCAAACCGTGCTATCATTTGTATTTCTTCCTTAGCCTTTCTGGCTACAAAATCATATTTATAATTTCTTTCTAATTCTACCTTCCCAACATCTCCCCCGTTTTGTCTATGAATAACTAAGATATTAGATACGGTTCTACTCATTAGTTTCTGCATGCATTGGAGTATACAAGGTATAGCTATTAAAACTACAATTATCACTATCAAAATAATCAAGCTTATTTTACAAAGTTCCTTAAGCCAGGGTGCAAAGTTCCAATTATCAAACAAACCATCTAGCCAAGATGGGTCACTGATTGTGATTTGGTCTGCTAAGTCTCTTAGATTTTGCAGCTGTCTATGGATGGAGACAGAATGATCTGATAAATTCATGCAACATAAGCCTTGAAAATCCTCACAGCCATGTCCATGAGCCAGTAAAAGGTAATCAATGGCTGCTCTATTTTGTAATGTGGCATGTCTGATTGCTTCTTCATCTGTCAGTAGATCACTTTGTCAGTAGATCACTTATCATGACTGACGTGGCATTTACTTCTTTACTGAGCCAACAGCCTAACTTATTCAACTGTTTCAATGCAATTGTGGAACTTAATTGGGGTAAAAAGATACTCGCAGCAATAGATTCTCCAGAATTCCAAGGCTGAAAGTTGCTGTCACAATCATTCTCATATTTATTTCCTGTGGGGGATCTAATTTTTCTGTTTTTCTTTTTGACTACTTCTTTAACACTGGGAGCGATTACTGTAAGCTGTCCCAGGGCACAAGGGCCACCCTCTATATTCGAGGGTATGCCTTGC